AACTCAGCCATCTTGATCATCAGAGGAGCACAGGACCTCACTGTTGCTGAGGATGGCTGTGGTACCTTTTGGGGGAGCTCTGGTTCTTCTGAGCATCACTTCCTGGCTCCAGTGCAGATCCCTCAGCCTGCTAGCACAGATCCTTCATTCCATTGGTGTAGACTCCCTAGATTCCACCACTGACCCTTGGCCCTTCACAGCCCAGATCCATGAAACAGGCCTGCATGAGATATTGCTATGGGCTCTGGGAAACTCATGTAGGACATTATAGAGGGATCCAAGCCCTCAACTAGCTTCCTTGGTCTTAGTGTGTGGACACATTTCCTATATTATTTTGTATATTTTTCTATGGGGGTGTCATATAAAGTATGTGTCCTGTATTATATTGTTCCCCTTGCAAAATAAGCCCCAAACCAACACACTTGGGTACCTATTTAAGAGAAGAATTTCTAAGTCAAAGATTGGTATGTGTTTAAATTTTAAAGGAAGATCTAAAATGTTTTCTGAAGTTACTATACCATTCAACATTTCACCAGAAATATATTAATTTTCTGGTTGTCTGCATTCTCACCAACAGTTTCTATTATCTGATGTTTGATGACAGTCACCAGGGTGGGTGTTAAATAGTATGTCATTGAAATTTTGATTTGTCTTTCCTTAATGATTAATGATTTTCATGTATTTATTGGTCATTTGCATATCTCATAGATAAATATTCATGACAATTTTTTTTTAAATTTTAAAGAAAGTAGTAAATGAGAAACAAACAAACAAAAAAAGAAAATAGAACAGTAGCAGCATACCAGTATCATGAACATAAATAAATCAGAGCAAGAACATTCAAAGTGATACAGGGTCCATAAACAAAATAATACGAATCAACAGTGGTGTACATTACATATTGCTATCCTCAACTACATTGCTCAGATTACCAGATGTAAGGATGGAAGATTGCTCAAACCATTAAAGAGAATAAGAAAATAATTCTTTGATAAAACATTAGAGGTAATACAGAGTATCACTAGACAAGATGTTAGGAGTTCACCATTGTAATTCCAGTGCATATTGTTACCTTCAAATCAGTTGCTCAGACCACCAGACACAAGCATACAAAGTTGATCAGAACATAAAAAATTGTGAGCATTAACTGTTCATTTCAATACACCATCAGACATCAGCAATACAGTTATTGCAGCTGTGGGTTACTTGCTTTTCATTACTGAGTTGTTATAATATTTTTACACATTCTAAATGCAAGTAGTTTTCAAATTTATGATTTGCAAATATTTTCTCTTATTCTGTTCATTTTCTTTTCACTTCTGTGGTATCCTATGAAGCACAAAATTTGTTAATTTTATTCAAGTTCAGTTTGTCACTTTTTCCTTTGTTGTTTGTACTTTTGATGTCACATCTAAGAAACTAATTCCAAATCACAACCATGAAAATTGATCTCTAAATTTTATTCCAAGAACTTTTTTAGCCCACCTACTGCCTTTATTTCTTTGGTTTATTCTAATCATTTTACATGGTGTGAAGATACAGTCTTTCTTTTGGTTACTTATTTAATTTACAAGAAAAAAAGCACAGAGGTGGGAGGATTGCAATTTTGAGCCCACCTTGGGTGCAGTAACTTAATGAGAGCTTGATTCAAAATAGAACATTAAGACTGCCTGGGAGTGTAGCTCACTGGGAAGGTCATGGCTTTAACACCCAATAATTTTTAAAAAGCCCATCCTGGTATTTCTTATCCCATTGCCAATCCAAGCCTCAGGTCCTGCCATTAAGTAACTATGAATGTTGAAAATATTTAAATACAAAAAAAAAATAGTTTCTTTTTACTCAGAAAGTTGTGCATTATGAAAATTTACACAGGTATTTTAAAGTAAATCATATGAGAGTTAATTACAACTTCTTTATAAGCTGCATAAGTGCAAAAATTATGCTACTTCTTCAGGCTTACATTTTCTCTTCAAAATAGAGTAACTGACATAATTTTGTCTACTTATGTAGCTCCTGTGAATAGTTTTTCACCCTCACTTTTTGCTGTTATTATTTTTGTTACCACTAGCCTCAGATCCCTGTTCAGCTGTTTGCACCATCACCTTCCTCCCGGGCATTAACTTTAGGGACACTTCTTCACAGCCTAAAGCAATATTTTATTGTTGACAGAGGTTAAAACACAGGCTTAGTTAACAATAGAAGTTTACATAACAATGGTAATAGTAATAAGGAAGTGAAAACACAATGTAAGCTATTTTTAAAATCAAGGCAAAAGAAGCTCAAAAGTATAGCTTGGAGAATGGAACGTCAGAGGACATACAGTACTAAGTGGGCAGTCACCCTCCCCTCACTCAGTATGAATATGTGAGCCTCATTATACTACATACTCTTAAGCACTGATCAGACCATGAGTGAAATACACACAGCCTTGCCCTCATGGGTCTGGCAATGAGTGCAGTGTATTTCATAGATAATTGGAAGCAATGTTTTCAACCCATGGTGTCTCTAGGCATCAAGTGTTTCCAGGAAATTTGCTGAAAAAGTTTATCTTAGCTACTTTTCCCACCATAATTGTTCTCACAATGTGGAATCTTAATAGTAACCACTTAATAGTTAAGGGATGATTAAGTAGCTTTGGCAACCTGTTACTTAGGTAAGGAGCTGAAAGCTGTGGTAAATTTGGCAGTGCAAAATTTCTAGTATTTTCTTATTACACCAAACAAAACAGTTTTTTACAAAGTATTTCTTGTTTCTCTGTTAATCATCCCCTATCTCCTTTGCATACATTCTAACACACAGCAAAGAGAAAAGTAATGAAAAATGATCAGGTTGTTTTTACATGCACATAGAACTCTAAAGAACAAATCTCACTGGGATAGGCAATACATGATAGACCAAAAGTGCTATAGGTTCAAGAATGCGGAAAATATAGGACACTTGGTATGTGCAAACATGTTCCAAAAGGAATAGGAATTTCTCATGCATTGGAGCCTTGCAACTTCTTATAAACTCCAGAAGCTACTCCAGTCTCACAGGAAATCTGTGAGTGTGCTGATTTCTCTAATCATATCCTGCTTCCCTGACATTTCTTAACCAGGTCAAAATGTGTGACTAGTCATTATGAGCCTTCCATCCTGTTTGAAAGCATATTATCTCTACATTCTGATTGGAGCACAGCACTACACAGGGTGACAGATCATCTTCAGGATAATGAGGGGTGACTTCAAATCAACAAAATGTACTTCTTTGGGATTCATGCAATGGTAGTTATTTATCAAAAAGAATCATTTTTTGTTCATTTTAGTTTTTACTTTCATTAGCATATGTTTGCAATACACAGTGATTATATTCCCTGTGGAAAGTTGGTACTTGTATATAACCCATCTTGACTCTTTTTTAACCCCCATTTCTCAATCCCCTCCTCATTTGAAAAAGATCTTTCCCTGCATCCTATTATTTATATTTTATTTTGCTCATTACTTATTTTTTGGCTTTCTCATATAAGAGAAACTATACAATACTTAAGCTTCTGTGTCTGATTTATTTCACTTAACAATATGGCCTCAAGATGTACCCATTTTTCTACAAATGACTCAAGCTTAGTCTTCTTTATGGCAGAGTAGTGCTCCAATGTGTATAAATACCACTTTTTTTAACCATTCATTTTTGATGAGCATATAGGCAACCGCGAGATTTAACTACTATGAATTGTACTGCTATAAGGATTGGTATGCTTGTATGAAAGGAATTATTACAACTAGCCCTGATTAACATTTTTTGAAAAGATCCCTTTCTCATTCTCTTTAAATATATCTAATATTTCCCAGAATCCTCCTCCTCTCTGTACATAAATGGAAGTTTAGGGGGCTGGGGATTTAGCTCAGCGGCAAAAGCGCCTGCCTGGCAAGCGCAAGGTCGTGAGTTCGGTTCCTGGTACCGGAGAAAAACCAAAAAAAAAAAAAAAAAAATTCCCCTCATAAATGGAAGTTTGATGATACATACATATTTGAAATCATTCATCACCAGGTCAAAGGAAAGTCAAAATAGGTGCATCTAGTATTTTTAACTTCTACATTTAACAAAACTGTGCTTTCTCTACATGGTCATGATCATGTATGTTAAAGAAATGCAATAGAAGAAACAGCATGAGGTGGAGACTGGAAGCTTTACTAAAACAGGATATGATGAACTCACCAAATGTTGTCAACCAGTCTCTCTGGATTTGTAGAGGCCAAGGGCAGATGAAGCATCCCACAGCCCTGGCCTAGAAACCTAGCCTACAAGCAGCCTGGTGCAAAGGAAAGAACCCTTTGGACAAGAGCATCAAAGCTGGAATGCAGGTTCCACCCCTTAGCAATCACTCTGCTTCCTTAACTAGATTTTCTTCATTACTTCAGCTGTAAAATGCCACTATTCACCTCAGAAGAGGATCCTATGGATTGCTAGGGACACTATGTGTAAAGCTGACAGTGAAGTGCAACAATAACGGAGCTCACTCAGTGGGTCTGATGTGGTGGACGCTGGCCCGGGACGTGCTACGCATGCGTGTCACCATCTCCCGTGAACACCCGTGGGAAGTTATGCCAGATCTCTGCTTCTACAGGGATCCTGAAGAGATTGAAAAGGTAGAGCAGGCAGCTGCTGAGAAGGCTATGACCCAGAGGAATTTCAGGGCGAATGGATCGCACCAGATCCGGAATTCACCGTTGCTCAGCCGGAGGTTGCAGACTGGTCTGAAGGTGTGCAGGTGCCCCCCGTGCCTATTCAGTAGTTCCCTACCGAAGACCGGAGTGCTCAGCCGGCCACAGAAGACGGGTCCACAGCCCCTGCTGCACAGGCCACTGAGTGGGTGGGAACCACCGTGTGGTCTTGAGCTGTTCTGCAGACACTTCAGCAAAATGGAAATGAGGTTGACGGAAAATATAACACCAATTTCTAAAAAAAAAAACAAAAAAACCTGACAGTGAAGTTCTGCACATAGTATTCTTTGTCTCATTCTTTATGCACACAGACCTCATACACACAATACAGCCACTAAAACCAAATGTAAGGAGATCATGATATTCTGGTGCCTTGGCTTGTGACTGATTACCCAGTGAGATGCAGAGAGTGTGCACAGTAGCTCTTTCTCACCCGTCACCATTTGTCACCTAGGACAAGTAAGGTTAACCAAAGTTTGTTTGTCACTGAGAAGGCCATATAGAGTTAACCATCAAATTATGTGCAGAAGCAAAGTTAGAAGGACCTGTGGGGAAAAGTGGTACAGTGATTTGGTTTCCATAACAGTCTGATGTTCATGAGATATGTATATGTGTCACAGGTACATACGTTTGTATATATGTCTAAACATATATAAAATGCAAATGCTGATATATTAAGTAACATATTACATAATATAAACATTATATAAATGTGTTGTTGCAGATATATTACTATTTAGTTACTTGCCTTTGTTTTTTATCTTACTAGGGCATTTGCATATCCATGTAAGGCACACCTTACCTTTATAAGACATGTTTTCCCCGACTATGTGGAACCAGCTGAGTAAATCTTTCCTCAAAATAGTAAAATCACTCTCTCTGTATGTATGATAAGAACGTTCTTCTGTTAATTGTGAAAGATATGTGCTAAACAGAACAAAACCATGGCTATTAATTTTCAGGTTCTTAAAGTTACAAATTACTTGAAGTAATTGTTTTGACAAAGTAATGTATATTTGCCTTGAAAAGGCCTACAAGTAAGTTTTAATACACATAGGTCTACAAAAACATTAAGCTTTAAAAAAATCAATATTTCAATAGATTTATGGTAAAATATGAACTTTAAATCATGATGTTAATAACTAATTTTGAGAGATCTGAAAATTCTAAATTATATGAACTTCTAAATTACGTGTAAAACTTGCTTCACTCTTGTTTACTGATATACAAAAATTCACACATAGCAAAAATAGAACTTAAATATTTCAGGCACAAAATTTAAAAGATTTAACTGATACGTGCTTCTCATTAAAAACATATGACAGATGTTCATCTAAAAATGCATATTTTTAAATTAGAATTTTCTACAAATAAAAGTGATTCATCCACTCCAGGTTACAGACAGTCACTTACATGATAATCAGCCACTACTTTAATTAGAAGTTGTCATTCAACTCAGCACACCGCTCTCTGGAAGAGATCAAGTAACATTTTGTACAGCTGCTCCCATGCTTTGCCTGTCATCTTGGCCTGACTTTGAATTTCTCTCCCCCACCTCTCCTCTCTTTAGATAATCCCCCCTCCTTTCTTCACTCCCTCTGAGCTGTCAAGAGTGGAAATACTGTGATATGAAATCATTGTCTCTGTGACTTTCAAAAAAGGAGCGCTTGCACTAGATTTTGATCAAAGAGAATCATTTATAAGATAGATACAGCGAAGAAAAACCTTAGGGAATAATATTTTCCCTCTGAAGCATCAGGATTATGTGAAGTAAAGAAGACAAAGAAACATATCTCAAATCTTCCTTTTTTTTGGCTCTCTATTGCATGATTAGGGTTTACACCATACAGTGTTTATCTTTTTTTCTTTGCTATTCAGCACTAGCTCAGAAAAACATCACTTATGAGTATACAACCCCCCCTAAAGTGAAAGGTAAAATTGAAGGTTATGAAATTTACAGATCTCACTTTACTTAGCGTCAGTGACTGAAGGATGAGGAGAAAGCCGCGATGTATTTCACAGAGGAAGGGAGCGTTCTGGAGGAGACCCGCAGGATTGCCATCATTGAGGGATAATGAAAATTGGGTGGACTTCCGGGCAGTCTGCAATTCTCCTTGCTGCCATTCTCACAGGGATGTGTTTATGTTGTGCCACATCTCATTATAGTCTTTGCCTCTACAGAAAACACACTCTTGCCAGTGTGGAAGTGAGGGAAGGGGCCACTGCACTTGTGCTGGAGAGGAGACTGGGGACTGAATCCGCTCAGAAGCTTTTGCTGAGACCACTTAAGAACTTGCACATCATAATCATGGCCCAATTATGAGGTCATCCCACCCTTCTCCGTGCTTGGAATTGAACACTGAATTCACGTGCCTCCTTCACTGCTCAGTGCTGTGTAACCTCCAGACAAAAATAGTGCCAGGACTTCCTTTCCCAGCAGTAATGATGGGGAGAGTAAGTCATAGAAACACTGGCCATTTTAGTTCTGGTTTTTGGCACATACTTGCTGTCCTCCTTGACTATGAATAGCAGCATTTTTAAAATGTGAAATGAAGGAAAGAGGGTAGTTTGCATAATGACACTCTGCCTCCAGATTTTAAAATGCTTATTTATTTACTTTTAAGTTTTGAAAATGTCATAATTTTCTCAGTCTCTGGGCACATGTACAGGAAATGATGGGTTCATTTATAATTGATTCATTTCACTTCAGCCTTATAAAACTGCACCTATCACCACCATGTCTGGGTAAATATAAAACACAGAATATACAACAGCAAAATCAAAGAATAGAATCACATTTACAGACTGTTAGGACTTTGAGAACTTGACGGTCAAGTAACCAAAATGTTTTCATTTTAATATCATCAGATTGTACTATAAACTACTAATAAACCATTATGTATAAGTAATATACACAACTTATGTATGTATATGAGAGAGAGCAATTATATAATGAAAGCAAAGAAAGAAAGAAAGTGAAAAAAGACCAAATGATTAGTAGGGTGATGAGGAAAAAAAGTCAAAAGTTGCTACCACAGGGGAACATGAACATCATTAAACTCTTTCCATTGGCTCTGTGGCTTTTTTAGTGCATTTGTACCTTGTATGCATAGAGAATGGAGATTTTAGGATGGTTATTGGATGTGTGTTGGGAAGAATGAGGCTTGATTAAGGTGGGATGTTGATCAGGAGGGACAAAATGGGAGCACACGCTACTTACTAGAAATGACTTAAAGCCAAAGGTAAGTGTAGAAAACCTCTGGATTAAAGCTGTCTAGAAAACCCAATGTCCAAACGTTGCAGGATGAAAGCCACATTGCAGTCTACTGATTACCTGAAGAACTCACATTTGGATTCATGGGCCAAGCAAAACAAATAAGGCAGGAGCCTGAACATGTTCACATCAGTATTTTGCTGGAACCTGGCATCTTACTCAGTAATTACTTGTGAAATAAAAGTGAATGAACTGTACAAGTTTATAGCTTTTCTAGATATGCTTGATTTATGAAATGTTCAAATCACATTAAAATGCTATGGATAATGTTGACAAAGGCAAAGCCTTGAAAAGAAGTAAGTGTTAGAAAATAATTTTATCAAAAGAAACAAATATATTTCATATTTTGTATATGAGATTGGAAAATACATGTGCATAAGAAATATTTTAAATGCAAAGCATTAAAAGTGACATATAGAGATAACATCTTCATAAAAAGTATGCTTGTGTTGCCTTAAAGAAATATGTCTTTTCTTAAAGTTTTTCCTTGACTAATGTCATATCTGATATGTAGTATTTCTCTTCACCTATTGCATTGTGTCACAAACCTGTCTCTTTAAATAGAGGTGTGAGAGAGTTGTCAGAGGAAGAGGCATTACAATCAATGCCCTCAAATAATTATTCTTAGGCAGATAAAAGTGGTTGGGCTAAGAATGAGACCTAACTAAGAATTACAAAGATACTATTGGATAAAGGCCACCAGTATTTCGGAGATTGTCCTGTCTCTTCATCCTGTGTACTGCCTCCAGTGAGCCTCAGATATTCCCTCTCCTAGGGTTCAAGAAACAAAATGAAAAAATGAATTTTAAGAAAGACAGAAAATTATTTTATCGAGCTCTTTTCATTATATTAAGGTCTTCATGTATAACAGGATTGAAAAATATTTTATTATCTGAAAGAGCAGAAGGGATGTATTCAGCCTAAAATTGTGGAATATGCAAGTTTATATAAAACTGAAAAGTAGATTTCCCATCTATAAGGATTATTCTATAGTATGATGATTTACTAAAAGAAACTCAAGAATGGTTTTCTTTCTTTGGAGACCTTTAAAATGATTTTTATTTCAGGATCATTAAGACTTCAAAATATAATTTTGTTGCATAAGGAGCTACATTTAATGAAGTAAATCAGCCTTCAGTAAACTGGAAAAAAGTAAAAACTTGACTGTTCTACTTTAAAAAATTTTTAACCCGATATTGAAGTCTAATGATATATTCTAGAAGTAATTATTTTTGAGACAGGGTTTCACTCTATGGCCCAGTCTGGCTTAGAATTTATGTCAATCCTCCTGCCTCAGCCTCCCAAGTGCCAAGATTGCAGCTTGTGATCTCACGCCCAAATCTACAAATAATTTTAGAATTTGTGTTGTCACCTAGAGATCTAACTAGAGCTCTGTTCCAACAACTAATACTGATGTTTTCCATTTATTTTCCGTGTAACTCATGTTTTTGACTTTTATGAATCTTGACCTTGGATTAGTAGACTGCATAAGTAATCTGAGACTGTATTTATTCTGTGTCATCTTTCCACTAATGCTTACAAAATGGGATTTATTCATCTTACTGACAGATTGATGATGTAAACTTTTCCAAGGATTATGCTGTTGTATTTCTGTACATGCCTTTAGAATTTGTAATGGAAATCTAAACTATTTTTGTTCCTTTTAATATTATGATATTGCCCTTGGACAATTGTGAGTACCACAGGAAGAGGGGCATTTGCAAGCGGAAAGGATTTCTTGGATGTTGACTCTGAAGACTGACATTAACTTTCTGTTTCTAGCCCCTGCCCCATGCTTCTGTAACTTTCTTCAAATGAACATATGCAGGTCACTGTTCCTACAAAAAAGCATGCATGAGTTATCTAACTCCATGGATATCAATGTTTCATGTACATATTAAGATACACTCTATCTCTATACAAATATACACAAAACACTTTTCCTACAGTTATTCTAGTTATCAGTATGATACAAAAAAAATGTATCTATCCATGACAAAAACATTCTCAATATTAGGAACAAAGGAAAACATCTTCAACTTATCATGTAAAATAGAGATATACTGAATGCCTTCTCCTTTAGACTAGAAGAAAGATGAGGTGCTCATTGTCTTAGTCAGTTTGCTGCTTAATAATGCACCATAGACTGGAGAGTCAAATACCATAGCTTTACTTCTCACTTTCCAGGAAGCTGGGTGCACAAGATTAAAGTGCCAACAGATCTTGAAACTGCTGCAGGTCTTCTATCTGGTTTACAGATGGTGGCCTTCAAGATGTATTTTCACATGACAGAGGGAAGAAAGACAAAATAAGCAAGCAATTTCTGTGATTTGTTGATATTATTTGACAGCATGTAATATTCTGTCCTTTTGTCAGATTTCTGGAATTTTGACTATGATGCACCATGAGACATTCTTTTCTGATCATAGAAATTTGGGATTCTACATGCCTCATTTATCTGTATGTTACTCTTCCTCCATATTTGAAAGTTTTCCGCTATTATTTCTGTAAATACGTTTTTCATGACTGTTATGCTGTCTATTGATTTTTTATTTAATTTTTGCAATTGATCTTAGTCTTCTTTACATCATCTAGTAGCTGTTGGGTCACCTCTATGTTCTCTTGCTTTTACTTTATCACTGAGTATGTAGTCACTAGCATCAATTCTATTTTCCAGTTCTAACATCTGTCCTCAAATTGGTTGCTTTTGTTGCCTATATTTTCAATAGAATTTTGAAAGCCTCAGATTTCCTTTTGGCATCTTTTAATATACTCCATTTCCTTACTAAACTGGCCATTCATGTTTTGTATCATTTTGTTCAGTTCAGTATGGTTTTTATTAGTGTCTTCTTTTAGTAGCAACATTATATGGTAAAGATGCATAATATGAATTCTATTTTATATGTATTTTGAATGGTGCAATACATGTAAAACTTTTATTGACCCCTTAGATACTAGAATATCCTTTGTGATAGAGAAAATTAATTTTACTTTTAAAAGCAAGAAAAAACTCATTAATTATATATAATGAGATGTATTTTATGGCCATTAAAATAAATTTAATGACAAATTACTCAGAACATTTTGGATTTGTCTCATCCCAATGGATACATTTATATATTTTCAACAGCTATATTATCATGTTTCACACTCCCTATCTTCTCAGAGTGCCCAGAAAGGAATGTGCTATTCTTTTTTCTGGCTATGTAAAGGGTCTTAGTATCTGACGATCCCTTCCAGAACCCACAAGGAAATTTTTAGGACTATCTCTTAGACTTTCTTACCAATATTATTTCTGCTACTATTTAAAAGTGTTAATTATCTTATGCTTGTAAGAAAGTACAAATTTGGGAAAATATACAGTAAATATAGAAATGCAAAGGAGATATTTTAAAATATCAATAACTAATTTACTTATACTGGGCTTGAGCTCCATCCCAAATACAGTTCTGGAGAAAAAAAAATGAGTAAGCTTCACAGTATTAATAGCATACATTAACTGAGAGTTTACCATCTTATGTCTATTGATAAAATGTGGAAAGTAAACTTTATAGCTCTCTGTTTAGAAAACAGAAAGCTGATTTCCCTGCATAGCCCTTGGTGAATGCATACAGGAATACTGTACCACCAAGAGGTCTCTAAGGCTTCAATTCATTCTTTTCTTTGCTTGCTCAGCACACTGAGGTTTTTTCAACACTATGAGAAGATAGTTACATCTTAGAGGTAGATACATATTAGGCCATCCTGTGCAACATTTATAAATGCAAGATGGCAAGTGGAAAATTCACACTGAAAATGATAAGGAATCAGAGCACCTGTGCCCTTTATGATCAACCTTCTTTTCTCTCTAGGTAGACCCACATGAACTATCCAGTTACACAGTTATATCCAGTTATAAGTATCTTTCTCATACTTACATAGGAATTATATAAGCTTCACTTTTATGGGACCAAGAATTTTATTTTATGTAGCACAATTAAA